CCAGTCCCCACTGACTGGGTCCCTCAGAGTGGCCCAGAACCCTACAGCTCTCTCTCCTGTGCTCCATACTGGCAATTTTGTCTTTTCCTTTCCATCAGACCTCTGGCCTCTCCTCCTCTCCTGTGACCCCTTGTTAGATGGCCTCACACTTCCACCCTGTTTCCCAGAGAAGAAACCTGTTATCTTGCTGCCACCAGACCCACACCCTTACCTGCATCAGCTCTTTCCTCCTTCTCACTGACTTGTGACTGTGGAAGAGCTGCCCCTCCTCCTGCCAGAGGTTAACTTCAGTGGGTAGGACTTAGTTCTCTTCCATCACCATCTCTCAGCTCTGCCTTATCTGATTTAGCCCACTAGTTTTTGCTTATAACAACCTATTCCGTTGGTTTCTGTGGTACACACTCAGAGTTTCTTGTCTTCTCTCAGCCACACTCCTTCCTGGTGCCCTTCTCCCTCAGCTGGGACTGGCCTTGGGGTTCTGACTAGTCACTCTCGTTCTGGGCCCTTATACATCTCTAAAAGTGTTTTATACACAATGATATAATTATCTTCAGTTTCCTTGGGCCTCTAGATACTAGCACAGCTTCTTTGTCTCTTTAATTTGATGTCTGCCTCCAGAGTTCCCTGACCCTTTCCATTATAATCCTGCATATCTATTGTGGGAGAGGTTGGAGTTTGGCTTGTCTCCCAGCGTGGTTCTGTTGTTTTACAGAAGAGGAAACTGAGGCTGCTTTCAGATTCAGCCAGGCATCACACTGTCTCCCTAACATTGGGCCTGAATTTGGCCACCCATGGATGGCACAAAACTGACATTCAAGGCTCAACAGAAATCATTTTAATTTTGCAACTATTGGACATCTTGTTTAATGGCCTTGAGGGCATTAAGCTCAGCAAGAGGAGGGAAGTAGTCTCTGGTTCCCTCATGGCTATCTCCTGCCCTGCCTCCAGGGTCTCCCCTACCTGTGCCTCCCCTCACACTACTTCCTTAATGACTCTAAAGATGTTTTTTGACTAAAAAATTAGTCAACTTTTCCTTCTGCTTCTTACTGTAAGTTCCAACTAGTGGCCAAATACATTGGAGTAACTATTATCTTGTTACCTGCCTTTGTACTTACATGGCTTTTCATACTGCTAATTATCAATGTCTGATATTAAAGGGACAGGAGACCCCTCTGTGCCCTTGGAACTGATTTTGTAGCTACTGAGAACAATGTAATGAATAAAAATCAGGCATCTGGGGATTCAAAGGATGAGTGGAGAGAAAGCAAAGAGCATTTGGTTCAACTGAAGCTAGGGCCAGGAGAGGGGAAGCTGCTGTGCAGACAGCCAGGGCTGTGAAGGCACCTTAGCTGCACAAGGAAGGAGGCCCAGGGGAGGCAAACAATTGGTTCAGTGAATGGGGAAGCTGTGAAGGACATTGAGTGAACCCAAGGAAGAAGCAGAGGAAACTGGAAGGTGCAACCACATTTCAGAAGGGTCAGTGTAAGAGGGATCTAGCCAGAGATGGACAATGGAAAGAGGAACCCAGGACTTACCAGTAACTAAGAGGCTCACAGCCTCACTGCGCTTGACGCCAAAGTCATTTTCAGCAGTGCAGTAGTACTTCCCAGAATGCTCTTTTGTCAGAGAAAGGCTGAAGGATGCTCTTCCTCCATACAGCTTAGAGCTCTTGCCCAGGATGACATCTTGGTGATAAAACTGGTACAGGATGGGAGGAGAGCCTCTATAGGCTTCACAGTAAATTGTCCTGGTGTCTCCCTCAAAAGCCTGGGCCCCAGAAGGACTGAAGGTGAGGACAGGCTGAGATACGGGGCCTGAGAAGAGAAAAAAAATTAGTCATTGGTTGCTTCTGTTTCCTACTGTAGGTTTCAATCAGTGACCAGTGCAAATTCACAGTCTCCTGTCCCCATTGGGCCCTCATGGTGGCCCAGTCACCTCCCAAGCTTCTCTCACCAGGTATCTCTCCTATG